TCTTCAGGGCATTTCAAAAAGATGAAGAGCTTCAGATCTCCTCTATCCCCGTCCCCGAGATACTATGTGTGATCTAATACGATCAAATCACCAAGCCGAGACCTCACAGCGAATCTTGTAAAAATTTGATTAAAATGAGTGAGTTAATTGATTGCGTGTAACTCATTGTGTTATATGGTCCATACATTTGCTCACAGTGAGGTAGAAGGAGAGAATTAGTGGTAAGCAAACAAAAGGGAAGTATAATTTAAAAAAGCCGCAAAACCTCTACAATAGGCGCTTCCGAGTTTCATAAGAAAGATCTAAAAACGAACTTCTCGCAACTATTCTGAAAATTTCTTGCTTTCATAGTGATCCTAGCATAACTCAGCCAAAATTGCAGAAAAATCACTAGAACACAAAACGAAGAAGAAGGGCAGAAGCTGGGCATGAAAAGGCAGATCTATGTCATGGATATCGACAGCTGATAGCAGACGTTTCGTCTTCAGGAACGAACGCGAGTTTTTTGAAAAGGTGTCAAAGTGTTCGAAAGTCGTCTGGGATTTGTCGTGCCTTAGATCTTCGTTCAGAATCAACTTGATCCTAGCCAAAAGCCGTAACTCTTAACTATCTAGTCTCTGCGACGACTTGAGATTTGTTGATAAAAAAAGCTGTGAAAATCCCATAGCGGAACCACTTTTGCATTTCGCGGGGGTTTCAACACTGGGTTAAACACTGCTGACTTGGAACCTATATTGATTTCCGCTTGAGCTGATTAACCCTTCACCTTTTTCGGCGCCAATTGACTTGCCGCAGATACTGCCGGGCGAGCAGGATATGTTTTGCATAAAGCATCGCCTCTCTGCAGGTCTCGTTTTACGGCACACAAATTCCTTCGTAATTCTGATTGTGGCAGAAACTGAAGCAGCACAGCATAACCAGAGGAGGAAGGAGGGGAGGGGAAAGGATGTCAGCACCAAAAACCAATTTTTCAATCACTTGATTAGTATTCCATCACCAATGCTGCTTCATTGACAGTGAAAAATTTTCAACTTGTTTACTCATTAAGGACGAAAACGCCAAATGTTCTCACTTAAAAACATTTTCAGTGAATAATAGGGCTATCAGGACTCCAGTGAATGCGGAGGGGCAACTACCAGGCAGGATCAGCCGTCGCGTTCAGTTTTCCAAAAATTTTGCGGCTCTCCCTCTGGGGTTCTCGATACGACTTCCTCCCACCACCGTAATACTTAGGAGCTCCTTCAATACGATCCCCTACACTATCTCCGACCACCACCCTTCACCATCATGGCTTTTTGGTAGTATTTGATTCTGAGACCAATCGACACACCGAACACCGCTCATTTCTTCGTTCGAGCAGGCCGTCGAGCGGGCAGGGAGGGTAGAGGGTGAATATCTCTAAAGAAGCGCACACCCTCTAATGTTGCTATTTCCATATTTTATCCATTTCACGCTTCTTTCATGAAAGTTTGCCAAAATCGTTGGAAAACCCGTCAAAAACTACCATTCTTGTCTGATAAACACCCCCTTCACGCCTTTCCCAAGCCAAGCATAACTAATCTTACCCTACCCCAAATTCGACCTTACCCCTTTCCCAAAATCACAAACGCGACCCCTAACGGACGGTTGACCCGGATAGCCTTTAACGCTTTGCCGTCCTTCTCATGGCGACAATGATCAGCAGTCGGCAAATTTACGCAATTCAGTGAAATTCGACACCCCCTAACCCGGCGATCCTTCCAGCGAACGCCGTGACCGCTGCCACCCGATAGCCAGACCTTCATTAGAGCTCTGACAACATGAAGAACCCTATGCGTTCAAGCGAGAAAAACTCCGTCAGGCTAATTTAACATGCGGAACGAACACCGACGTTGCTGGTTCCTGGTTAATACGTGAAATAGGGGAGCTTTTGCGAAGCTGGAAACAGCTGCCTTCTTCAGCGTGCATTTGGGCGCAAAAGCTGATCATCGCAACTTTTGCTCTCAATAAACTTCTCATGGTTACATGACTTCCACAGATGTTGATTTCTACGTTTGAGAAGAGCACCTAACAAACGCGTGACTTCTGTCAGTACACAACTGCACAAAAAGCATGCAAAACAACAAGATTAATAGTCCCCTTTTGAGTTCGTTGTAAAGGAGCAAAGCTTTTACCACACATTATTTGATCGTCGTTAGAATTTCTCTTCAATGAAGGGCTCAAAATAGCGTCTATTTATCAGTTGAGAAGGTAATCAATTTCATAATGAAATAGAGGAAAATTTCAATAATCGACCACGATAAAAACCTTGTGGAGGTGTGAAAATTGACGAAAAAAATCAGTTCCTTTAAATAAAATTTCAAATTATAGAAGTTATGAGAATTTCAAGGAAATCAGGTCATTGCACTGCTGCGAATTAAAATGGGTTCAGAATTAAATAAAACAATCAATAATAAAAATGCTGTGTTCGTATCCACCCTGTTTAGACAAAGATTAAAAGTAGAAACTTCAGAAAAGTCATATTAAAGTTACCCTTACCGCCCACTGTCGTTTCGTTCTCATTTGTCACCACCGTCGGCTTCTTTTCTTCTTCTTGGATTTGTACAAGTTTTTGAGCGGCTTCGCCCACTGTAGTTTCGTTCTCATTTGCCACCACCGTCGGCTTCTTTTCTTCTTCTTGGATTTGTACAAGTTTTTGAGCGGCTTCCTCCAAAAGCTCCGGCGTGTTGTGATCGATCAAGACAGGCTCTTCAGCAGCTTCTTCTTCTGCGACATGGTCGTTCTCGGCCGGGTGATCCAACGGAACGAATACCTCAACTTGCACAGGAGCCGCTTCCGATGATGGCTTTTCTTTCGTGGGTTCTTTATAAACTATGCTAATTACGGCTGGCTCCGCTGCAGTACTGGACGCAGCGGGTTCCTTTATCTCTGGCGACTTCTGAGGCTCTTCTTTTTTCTGTGGAGGCTCCTTAAACTGCAAGTTGATCACAGCTGGTTCTGCTGCACTAGATGACTGGCTAGGTTGGTTAGTTTCGAGTGGTTTTGGTTCCTGCTTTTGAGCCTCAGCATTCAGTTGAGTTGGTTCCTGTTTTATATCAGGGGTAGAGGTGGGAGGAGGTGGTACGTCGGTTGCTATTGGCACAGTCTGGATGGTCTCAGGTGGCTTCGCTTCTTCCTTTTTGGGTTCCTTGCTTTGCTCATTAGCAAGATCGACTGCAGTTTGCGCTTGTCCGACAGTGGCTTGATCGGCTTGGCTCTTTTCCACTGGTTTAGCGACTTCTTCCTGAGGCTTCACAGCTTCATGAGGAGGCACATCCTGTTGCGACTTTGCGGACGGCTCTGTCGTTACCTTCGGGGGTCCGCCGTTGCCTTGACCTCGAAATAGCAAACTGATCACTATAGCATTTCCTCCGCCATTCGTCTTACCTGATTGTGCGCCGTTTGTCGCTGACGTTCCATTAGAAAATGGCTTATAGATCTCGACTGGAACCGTTCCTTCGCGTTCGCTATCCTTGTCTTCCGTGGGATAGAATCGAACTTCAGTAGATTTTGGTTGAAAGATTACAGGGATCTCAATAAAGGTTTCAGGTTCATCTTCTGCAGGTGGGGCGGCTGTGGTAGACGGGCCATCAGCGGATGGAAGTTGATCAGAAACGGGAATCGAGTCGTCGACTTGAGCATCGTCTCGAATCCACACGATATCATCCATGAGGACACCGAGGCAATGCGAAATGTTGTACACTGCGACGCCGCCCCACCACGCCGCTCAGCGTTTGCTGCTTTTTCTTCATGCCATTGTATTGTCAATATAATCACGACCTCAGAGGAGCATTTTCTCAAATGATATTTGAGTCCGTTTTTTCTAATATTCTAGAATTTTATGTGAAAAGGGTATTTTTAGTAAGATTTCGTAGGCCATCATGAAATTTGGGGAACATTTCGTGCATAAACTTGAACGTGCCAACGTATTCTTCGAAGCGAATTCGCCAGGCAAAAACAAACTCATCACCACTTACCCGCTTCCATACGGTGATGTCCATTCTACCACTGCCACCCAACCTGGCGGAAGAAAAAGACCATCGATCGTTCAACCAAAATCAACTGAAGTTCGACTATATCCCACCGGAGAACCTAAGGGTAGCCAACGTGAAGGCTCGTAGAGGGTTATGAACCGAGCATCCCGAATGTACGGAAGGTTTTTCTTCTAAATGTGGACTAAACTTGGTGCGACAGAATGGAATTGAGGGTCACGTCCGGTAGAACAGATTGAAAAGATGTTACTGTTGAAAGTTTACTGGGTGCAATCGCGTCGAGACAATTGGAGCAAATGCGGATAAGTCGATACTGATGGTTTGCCACTGATTAACATTAGAGTTCAGCATTCCTAGAAATGTTTCTCAAGATAAACTGATGTTTCAAATTCCCAAAAAACTGAAATGAGACTTGAGTACATCGATAGACTCTTGAGCGCTGATTACAATTATGGACACTAAAACTGCTACGTGAACTTGTAAGAAAGTTTGAGCCTTAAAAGTTGCAATAAAACGAATTCTAATTGTAATAGCGCCCAAGGCTTTATCGCATGGCACAGTACAGTGCGTTTCATAACTATAAGGTCACCCTAAAATATTGCATTTCCGGGACCAGCAGCCAACTGGTGATTTTTCCACTATCACCAAATGATTCCCCACTACATGAATAACCCCTGTATCGCAATTTTGGTGGGAGCAGCTTTTCTTCGAAACTTTTTTGTAATTATTTTTCGATTTTTGCACCGTTTCATAATATAAGGTCACCCTGAGAAAAAGAACAATTACCTAAGATCATTGACAGATAAAATAGACATAATAATGTATGGTTCCTCCTTTATCAAGGCAACATTGAATAGTCTCCGTGGCCTACCGGAATTGAGATTCCAAGGCAGATCACCATCGATTCACTTCCGTGTTCAAGGGTTGCTTGTACACGCTCTTGTGTAATTTTTAACTGGCGTTTATCCGCACTATTACTCATGACGAAGATGCCCCTGAGATGTTCTACTAGAACACGACTAGAAATTCAGAAAAATTTGTTCAGTTCATCAGGGTTTCGAGAGAAATGCTGCTTCTGGTTGAATGACCTACATGGGTACCTGTACTGTTCTGTATGACCACGTAGGCTAGCCGACTTCATCAGCTCAAGGAAGAGGTCAAATGTCCTCGCAAGGCTCTATGCTAATCTTTGGAGTCCATTATGCAGTTTATGGAAGCGAAATTTTGACACAACATCATCACAAAAAGCACCCACACCTTTCACATTTCCTTAACTAAAATTGCAAGCGCTGAAGTGAATCGGCCACCTTCGCAAGTCACTTCAAAGTGTTTATATTCGCAGGATCTGTTTGTATAAACCAGTTTTGTCCAAAAAATACCAACTTTACTGGAATTATCTTGCTATATGGTGCGACTGTGGAGCAGACTCAACCTTGTTCAAACTCTCTTCAAGTTCAACTTTACGGGTTGAAGTTGTGCCACTTTGCAATGGCCACTGAGCCTTCGGAACGTCTTTGTTGCTCCTGGTAATGCTGTTGCATAATTCACCGCACTCCAGTTCATATTTTTCAAGATAGAAACCTTAAATCAGGCACGACGCCGATTTGAAGCGGAAATACTGCACGGGACAGCCCTCATAACTCTTCTCTAATCATTTATAGAAACCATTTTGTGGATGTTCTGATTGTAGAATATCTGGAGACGTAGGAGCTTTTCAATTATCCATGAGCAGTGCTAATGACTGTCCGAAGTTCTTTGGAAAGACTCGCGAACCGTGCCAAGCACCATGAAATGCATAAACTTTACCTTTTCTTCAAAAGGCGAGTACGAAACATTCCATAAATTTAGCTACTGGGTGTGTTTGTAACAAACATTCAATTTCACAGGCAGGTTGGTTGTTTCCGATAATGTAGTATTCATTTTCACAGGGTGACCTTATATTATGAAACGGTGCAAAAATCGAAAAATAATTACAAAAAAGTTCGAAGAAAAGCTGCTCCCACCAAAATTGCGATACAGGGGTTATTCGTAGTGGGGAATCATTTGGTGATAGTGGGGAAAAATCACCAGTTGGCTGCTGGTCCCGGAAATGCAATATTTTAGGTACCTTATACGCCCTGTAGTTCCTTCCAAAGTTCCAGGAAAGTCATACCAGCATTTCCTCGGTAAAAGGGACTGCAGGAAAATAGTCAGTGAAAAGCGTGACTGTCTGACACTCTATAACTTAACACTTTATTTTAACATTTTGACTTGTTTTATTGGTTTGTTTTACTCGGCTTGCGTTGCGAAACGTTATCACAAGGATGCTAAGCATTGGGCAAAACTTGCGCCCCAGCCGGAATTCGTATACAGATCCGAGCAATTGTGCTTTCAGTTAAACCACCGCAGCACCATTTCACATTACCATTATGCTCAACCTGATGATAAAATTACATTATGTCAGCATTCACACGTATAAGGTGATGAACCGGGTAGCCGATTTCGACAGTAAACGTGAGGCTGGAAGTTTTTATTAGATGACGCTATTTTGACTTATTATTTTATTGGATAACTGCTGTTCACGCCCCAGTTCGCGTTGCGAAACTTATCACAAAAATGCTGAGTTGTGCTGTGAAAGTTTGAAATTTTTTGTTTTTACCTACAGCCGTGATCGCTCTTTTAAAGGTGAACCTTCGAGTGGGCGGAAGGTAAGTGTGTAGGCGGCAAGTGGCACGCTACTATGCGCGCGGTTGCCGAGATCTGGAATCCTGGTCGTGTTTCTTCTCTGCCAGCGAAGCTTTCCATCCCTCCGGAGTCGATTAATTGCTACCAGACCTGTCTAGGACGATAGAAGACTGACTTACATCGACTAGCCCCCGCAATTCACAGGCAACATAGCATCCAGATGTCACTACGAAGTACAAATGGAATAGAATACGTACCACATCACAAGACGGGACTTAGATCCAGACGGCAAAACTCTATCCTTTATCGCTTAATCTATGGCGCTATTCCGGCCACGTGCTCAGTCAGCGCGCATAAACAAGCCAGTGCTATGATCCTCTCGAGTGGCAACCTGCCACTACACCACCTCCACCCTGTATACATATGTCCCAGTCTCAAAGTTATGTGAGCAAAAAATAATCAACAGTCGCACTGGTGAAAGAAATACGTAGGCTGTAATGCTCATAAGGTCAGCGGCAAATGTGTCAATTTACATAGCACGATCCTGGAAGCGATCGTACATGATATAATCCACAGTTGTACTGCCATCGGTGTGCGTCCGAACAATATCGTCCGATTGCTCATCATTTGCTCACTTTGTGCAAGCTCTAGAGACCTTCTCGCGATTTGGTTGCGACATCGCTTCGAAATATCTCGTGGGTCTACTGTAGCGCTAAGCGCCGTAAGGCCGATGTCAGACTTTGCGAATCGCGCGATTCGCTACTAGCGATTCGCGCGATTCGCTAGCGTCCGCGGTCGCGTTGCGGTACCAGCCAATTGAGTGATTCACTGGCCGCGACGCGACCGCAGACGCTAGCGAATCGCGCGATTCGCAAAGTCTGACATCGGCCTAACAGCATTGTTCGACATCGACCTCATCTGAGGCCGTTGCTCCGAAGGAATAAAGGATCAGTGCACGGAAACCGCATGGTTAGCACTCATTTTGGTAAACACTCCTAACATTAGGGATAAAACTGGCGTGTGCTGACAATCGTTGTCAGTAAAATGCCGTAAGGAATTTTTATCTCTCCCCCCCCGCCCCTCTCGTCACTCCACCTACACCTATTGGCAACCTTGTCACTTCTCTCCACCTACCCTAATCTATCGCGCTTAAACAATATCCTCTACGCTCCAGATTCGTGAGCATGAAGTCAATTTCTTACGACGCGTCATCTATAACGTGAACACTACGCACATCGCTTCATGCGCCGTTTTTTGGCTCCGCCCACGTCTCTGTACGTGTCCACGAAGTGTGATTTTCAAAGTTCTCTTTCGTTACAGGAACTGAATTATTTGTAAAAGTTCACGAATTTTTAGGCAACTTCATTCGCAGCTGAAAGGCATGGGCCATCATTTCTCGAATCGACACAATTTTCTCAGCTCCCTTCAGATTTTTCTTTTCAATTCAGGAACAAAATTTGATGGTTTTCGTAATAGGGAAATCCACGGAAAAGTCTCGTTCCAGTAGAACGCAGCTCAGCGGAGAAGTTAGAATCAATCGCTACACTGCTCTTCTACTTCGCTGTATTCTAAACTTATTATTGACAATTGTTAGAGAAAAATTCCCTACTTCGCGTCTTCTAACTTATGTATTGACAATTGTTAAAGAAAGATCAGACCTGACGGACCTCCAGATCAATCGTGAGGTTTTTCTCCAGAAGTTTTTACGATTTGCTTCCTGCCAGTTGCGCTGGATTCCCAGCTAATGTACTTCAACGACATCTCCTATATCGCATGTACTAGGCAGATTCTCAAACATCGCTCAAACAAGACCTAAAAAATTGTTATGGGCACGTAGCTGATTGCTTACTTCGCACTTTGAGCGGTCACATGTCTCACTCACGTAACATATGTCATATTTGTAATTCTAACATATGTCGGTACAAACACAATTCACGACAAAAAATGTGGCTATCTCACTTGGAATTTAACGTTACGCGTGCCCGAAGGCTTGACTTTCGGAGAAAAGATCGAAGAGTATTGCCGAAAGCACTGAAAGGAAATCGGGGTCACGATCAGGGTCAACCCTATCGTTGTTACTTTTCGAAAAATTTTTACGACCCCCCTCCCCCAAGGTGGATTTGGTACGACCCCCCTTCCGACACCTCGATCACCATATTCCTCTCTATAACACTACCACTCAACCCTCAAAACTCCGCCCACTTTTTCCTCCAAAAATGCCCGTCCGAGCGAGTGGGGGGGGGGGGGGGGGGGGGGTATAATAGTCCCTCTGAAAGCAGATAGAAATTTTCACTCCATAATTTCCCATAATTTCCCACAATTCCCTAAATTTTCGACCAATTTACCCTATTTCTACCTAAATCTCCCTGTTTCCTTTTCTAGGGGGTATATACACCGGCTGAAACGGCAAATTTTTATCTTGCGCGCCCTCTACTCGCACAACCTACTACCCACGAAATCTTAGTTTCTCCTCAATCCCACCCCTGATTTCGAGCAACTAAAGTGAGTACGACCCCCCCTCCTACAAACTCAACCAGGTACGACCCCCCCGTTGTTACTCGTAACAACGTAGGGTTGACCCTGGCTCAACATTACGCTTTTGCAAACACAATCTGGCTACGCAACACCACAGTTATTTGTAAACTGCTGGCACAGAACAGCAAATACTGCACTTCCGAAAAATCTTTCCGTATTTTGGCACTTCGTCCGAGTGATAGTTCCAAAGAATTCTGTGATTGAACATAGGCACTATTTACCCTTTACTGCCCCACTCCTCGAGAACTGAGCCGGGTTTTTATCGAAATTGGTCACTGACTGTGAATTTGGCCAGAAACTTGTCTTCGGGGGTAATTCGACCCGTAGAACACGAATATCACATTGTGATACCGCTATAACCCGACGTAAGCAAACCAGCCCTTTTGGCACATCGGCTGGGACCGTATGCTGAATGTTGGGGAGGGGATGGTGTCCCCGACGGTGGACGGACAACTTCAACGCGGTCCTTAGAACCGCCACAATTTGGCGCTTACCTTAGAACTAAGCCTTAAAGAGAGGACGGGTCCGTCCCCTCTCCTAGGCTTAGTCCAAGGGTGAGCAGACCGGTCCTTCTGGCGAAGCTACTGGACCAGCTGCACCACTTGCGTCAGTACTCTCCTATCGTACCAACCGAGTTGAAGTAAACCGTCGACCGTTGGGGACCCCATCCCCTCCCCAACATTCAGCATACGGTCCCAGCCGACGCCAAAAGGGCTGGTTTGCTTACCTCGTATAACTCACTCGGCGGCTCTGATGCCAGAAAGCCGTCCGCCAAAAGCGTTCAGATACATCATCGATCAACGAAAGCCGCTAAACTTATCTTCGGAGGCACTTTGACCTGTAGGACATGAATACCACATTAGTTCTTTGCGATTGAGCCTGTAGCCTGCACTACTGGCACACAGTGCAAAAACTTTGATAAAGCGAGGCGCTCTGTGGGCGGTCTCGAAGCAGTGTCGCACTGAACCATGATATTTGTGTTCTACGGGTCGACAACAACTTTCAGGCCAAATCCTTAGCCATGAACGAATTTCAATCATCAAAATCCGGCTAACTTCTTGAGTAGTGGGGCAGTAAAGGGTAATTAGTGCCCTTTTTTTCTAATGACTTGTTGGCACATTTTCATTGATCCCATTTGCTCGCGAAACACTAAATAAAATTTGCAAGCCCATTTTGAAGGTCGCTTTGCTGGATCATTCCCACGTCCTCCGGTACTAGGCAATGTAGCGACCTGAATCCATGTTGACTTGATGGACGCTTGGCACCAACTGTTGTTCACCTCCTAAGCGCCCCTCCACATTTCCTAAGGGGACGCCTTCTCACTTTTACGTGCAAGGGGGGGGGTGGGGGAGGGAAGGAGCAAAAAAGGTCATGTCCACTCCACATTCGGAAGAGAGTTAATCACTTTTTAGAGTTAGACACTTTGTTTAAACCGAATGCTCTCCACTGAAAATTACAGAGCACATTTGAATAAATCAAGGAACGCCGTACGAGCCTTCTACATCAATCAGAAGCATTTGCCACGGAAACATAATGCACGGTTCGAGCTCAACGAAATCCTGGACTGATCGTGGACCATTGCGACGTTTTGAGAAACGTTGGTCGGAAGGGAAAAACAAACTGATCTGAAAAGCTATGTAGCAAAGCAATTACGATGGTTCTGTTTGAGCTCGACGACGATAGCGGATGACGCCATACCCTGAATACGGTGAGGGCAATGGAGGAGGGCTTGCTTCTATTTATAGAGGAACATTTCACGAGCATACTGCTGCAATGCTTCCTTCAACGACGGCAACCTTGCGAACGAAAAGTGTGCTGATACGCGCCATGATCAAAATGTCTTTTTCTCCCTCACCCCCCCCCCTTCTGTAGATGAAGCTCAACTCTCAGCACACCAACAGCTGCCGACGAATCTTAAAAAGGAAAAGGGTGTCGGAACAGACTTGCATGGCTGGCATGCCCAGATTGTAGTATCGACAAATACTTCCTTATTGGGAACTCTGCGGAAGGCTGCTTCAACCATCAGTACGATTTTTAATCAAGAGAATTTCAGTTTTCAACTCGGAAATGAATGCTATGAATTGGAAGTAATTTTCAGAAGCATATCAACGTTAGGGAATGAATTACATCAAGTCTACACAGTCAAGAAACTTTGAACAGATTAAGAACTCAACGATAAAACTGGGAGACCACCAGTACGATGAATGATTATTTCGAGAAGAACCACATGCAATGCAGAGAGCAGTAATAATGCCTATCACATATCACAAACATGTTCCTCAAACTGGGTTGGCAATACTTCGTATTCGAGAAAATTCCATACTATTGTCCATTATACAGATAGCAGTTTCGGCGTTTGCTAGCAGTTAGCTGCAGCTTATCAGCACATAGGAATGTGTTCAGTTCCAATAAGAGCATTCCATTAAAGGATGTTCATGCTAAAAGACCACTTTTTGATCGGTCATCACAAAGACGATTCGGAAAAACTACAGCCTGGGATGGACTCACCCTGTGCTTCTTCCGTCATCCAAAAGCCGCTCACTCTCACTCTCAGCATCCGAATCATCACCCAAGCCCTCACTCAAGGCCGCCTGCAGACTCTCGATCCGTCGCTGTGCCAACTTGAGTTCCGCGTTGAGCGTCTTATTCGATTCTTCCAAACGATCAATTTCGTCACGCTGTAATCACTTCGGCCATGAAACTTATAAAACAAAACAAATGTGTTGAATTGGGCCGATGGATAGATCGCTTTGAAAAATAACACCAGCACACCGCACTGGGGGTGAGCCATCTGTTCACAAAGGTAAGCTACAGTCGTACAATTGTTTTAATGGGTCCATTTACAAGGAATTTCTACATTAGCCGATGAGTAATTAGTGCCTTGTTAGAATTGCACATAAGGCTTCAGAATAGACCAAGATCGACTCTCCATTAATCTCGGCATAGTATTGGTATTCAAGTTTGTTTTCTTATGCAGCCTCCGAGATTGATATAGACTTTTATTTTGACTGACGTTTCGGCTGAATCGCCTTCTTCGGAGCCTGTAAAGAAAGTCTAACATATTCGTGAAACCCAATCATTCAAATACCTTTTCAAATTACAAGAAAAAAGTTCTAGGGGCTGGAAAATCAGCCCTTAGAACTTTTTTCTTGGCTATTACATACTTTATTGCCAACAATTCCTTCGTTGGAGCCTAGAAGGATTAGAGCCGAGTTTCTATCCGATCAAAAGTGTACACAACACCTACTACATCTACGACATCACTTGACTCATCACGTAAGCACTAGGAAGATGAAATACCGTACCCAGATATACCGATTAATTACTACATTAAGATTGCAATAACCCAATTAATTGGTAATAAAAAAGGAACATTAAACGATAAAAAATGGAAAATCGAAGTGACAGGCACCGGACGGGTGCCATAAAAATCATAACTTGGCCGCGTTAATGTGCTAGCTGAAGCGCGTACAATTTAGCCGCACATCTGTGAACCAGAGACGGGAAAACCCAAGTCGAGGGGCAATCGAAGTTAGCCACATATCAGCCGGACCGCCAAAACAACCAACACTTGTAGCAGCCGTGCTTTAGTTCTACCTTTTTCCGGGATCAGAACAAATTTTGAATATTACACTCTGATAGTGACCAACTCTGGCTTAGCATGGAGTGCGCTGAAGCAAACTGCGAAATAGTTGGGGAACTCACTGAAGATTTCTTCTTATGCGCAGAATCCAGGTCTCGCTTCTGCAACTCTTCGATTGTTTCTTGCAACTGCTGGTTCTCCTTTCTACAAAGCAACATTGGAATGCTGCAAAAAACGTCGTCATTACCAACATGGTCTTACCTAGCCTTTCTGAGCGCTTCATTCTCCTTGTCTCGACTGGAACCCGCTTCTGTGATTTGCTCTTGCAATGAATCAACTTCATCTCTCAGTTTGATGACTATAGACTGAAAGGAAATGATATGTAGTTTAGCTACTCTCGGAGACTTCTATTACATTGAGAGCTACTGGATATAAAGAGCATTGAGGCAAAGATAGCAAAAAAAATTATAAGGAGGAAAAAATGCTGCTCAAAACCTCCTAAGCGTTGTTTCTGCGCAATTTCCAGATCAAGCTTCGCTTCCAGATCTCGGGCTTTCTGCTCGGAAAGAAGAGCTTATGCTTCTCGACCGTATGCTGGGCCAGGAATGCCGCGTTGGATGTCTCCTCGTTTAACTGCTCGGTGAGTTTCTGTTTTGCCTTCTCCAGCTCGGCAATCTAAATCTCAGAGTTATTAAGCCCCAGAGAGAAGTAAAGGAAACCCAAGCCAACTAGCTACCTGTTCTATATGATCCGCTATGGCTATGTGATCGAGATGAGTCTGCTGAATGGCCGCTTTGTACTTTCTCATTAGCTGCTGATACTGCTCATCTTTTTCTTCGATGAGTGCCATGCCACTGTTTTTCTCTTTCAGAAGAATCAGGGCCCTGTCTTCGGCGGCACTTTTAGCCACCAACGCTTGCTCGAGCTGAATCACCACCATTTCTGCATGGTGACCATTTATCTAGTATCAAAGTGTCTACCTGGACTCGAACTTCATTCAACTCGCTTTCCAATCCATGACGACCTTTCAACGCGCTCATCTTTGCAGCCTCCGCATCTTCCAACTGGTCTCTGAAAACGGATAGCAGCACTTATTAGATTAAAGGGCAGAAACAAAAACAAATTAATTTTTAAACTGAAAATATATGAAGTTATTATATTTTATATTCCTTCTTAGACGGAGCCGCCGACATAAACTTCCATGTTATATTTAAATCATAAGGATCCTACTTACAAGCAAGGTCCACACCAGTTAGTATGCTATTTCATCTTCGGAGATAATAGTATAGGTGTGGACGATAGCAAAGAAAAAGAAAGAGAAAAAAACAATTTCAAAAAGAGGAAGCCTTCTCTCACTGAATGTGGAGAATTTTGAGAGGCAGACAAATGAGAGGTACCGAACATCGAGGAGACGAAAAGCGACGAGAAATTAGGAATGAGGGCGAGAGCGGACGACCAATGATGTCAAACTACAAGGAGAAGCCCAGACGCTGGGAGGAATCCCATGCACATCTTTGAGCCTTACCAGGAAAGGCATTCAACTTCCCATGGAACTTTGAGATGAGACCCAGATATATCGATAGAGCTTCAAACGCTGATTACAAATATGGAAACTAAAACTGCAAAATGAACCTGCCAAGGAAGTTGTGAGCAGTCAAAGTTGGCTGGAAAAGCGTTCATATGAACCGTGCTACCTCCGGGCTTTCAAAGTCGCCATGGAGTAGTGGTAGTGCTCTCAAAAGTTGCACTCCAACGGTAAAGGCGAGCGAGAGCACTACCACTACTCCACGGTAACCCTGAAAGCCAGCAGGTTCAGTGTAATGCTTTACTTCCAGCCAACTTTGACTGCTCACAACTTCCTTGGCAGGTTCATTTTGCAGTTTTAGTTTCCATATTTGTAATCAGCGTTTGAAGCTCTATCGATATATCTGGGTCTCATCTCAAAGTTCCATGGGAAGTTGAATGCCTTCCCTGGTTAGGACTCTGCCAGACAAAGTCGTTGCAACGAGATCGGCACAACCCGCTTTGTGAGTACTTCGTTAACGATGTGTGTATCAACGTAAATATAATGAATGTCACATTTGAAAGCTCCATAAGATTACATCATTACCTTAGTTGTCGGAGTAAAGATTGAGAAGGAGCGGACTCTCTCTCGTGAGCCAAAAGGGTTTGAGTATCAGCCAAAAGCGCCAACGCCTTCCTCAGTTCACGACGATAATGTTCCCCGGAGAATTCAAAGCTAAATCTCAATCAGTACAAATTTTCAACAAAGCTGCAAGGAAGAGGGTGCAACACACCTTTGCGTATTCAAGTCATACTGCCTTGCTCTCGCTTCCAGTACACGATTCTCTTTGACAAGCGAGGAATTCGTGTCTTGCAAATCAGCCAGCTGATCCTCTAATGTTCTCAACTGCAAGAACAAAGGTTCACATGTAATATCCTTTACAATAAAGTGTAATCAGCAGATCACATGACCAACCCTTCTCTGGTATTGGCCTCGAATTTCGTCAATTTCCGTTTCTTTTGTCGTGGATTCACGAGACAAATCCGCTTTGAGGTCGCTCAGCTCCCATTTCCAAGCGAGTGATTTGCTGTTGCAGTTGCTGGTTGGTCCCCGCCAAATCGTCCAATTCCTCCTCCTTGAAAATGAAAACCATTTAGTTGGAGTTCGAAGAGAATATTCAAAACACAAAGAATATGCTGGTATGGAGAGCAACATAAAATGAACATGCATGGAAAAATCGGTCATACCTGCTCACGCAGCTTATTCTCCAGCTCTCTTTTAGCCTTCTGAAGAGTTGCCAACTGTTCTCCTCCACTAGCAGCATCTACTCGCTCTTCGGCTTCGCGCTTCAATCGCGCCACTGTCGTTCGTAGCTCAGAATTTTCTGTTCTTGAGTTCCTAAAACTGGTCTGGTAAACAAAAAAAAGAAACAATTAAACATAACAGAAATCACTTTTCAAATTTTGTGACTCTTCTTTTCTCAAAATCTCCAAATACGGGTGATCTACACATAAAAATCCTCAATATCGAAACCATTGTGATTGCGATCAAAAACTCTCTCCAAAACAAAGGTCACGATAAGATCCTCAGAGCAATTCCCTCGGCAAATGGCAACGGAGTTTTCAAACTGGTCTGGTAAACATTTTTGAGAGATTTGTGCCTGTGATGGCGGTAAGGCACGTTTGTGCGCGCACAAAAAAAATCTCAAAATCCGCAGCTGCCATTCGTGCTCGAGACCCGTGAACAACTTCATTCAGGAAGGTTGATCAGAGCAATTACCCTACATCCACTGAGCTAAGCACCCAAGCTCAGAAACAATTCTCACCTGAAGTTCGTTACCTTTCCTTGACGCCGTCAACTGGTACTCATCTCTTTCCTTCTCGGCCTTTTCCTTGCTTTCCTTAACTTCCTTCAACTGTTCTTCAATGGCACGAATATCGGCATCGAACCTGTACATAGAACTTTCCTCAGGTTCTTGCCTTTATTGATCTGACTATGAGCTCACCTCTGCTGTTTCTTCTCAAGCGTCTCATTCCGAGAACGAACCTTGCTCAACTCGGCTTCAACATCCTAAACGGTCCGCTATATTTTCCCCTTCCAGACAAAAAGCCAAAAAAATGCGATACCTGCAGATGAGCCACGGCTCGCTGAGTCTTCGCTCGTAACTGTTCCTCAGTTTGCTGCACACGGACCAGCTCCGTTTTGAGTTCGGCAGCCTGATGAATTTTTT